TGTCATTAACTCTCCTGACCAGGAGGGGGCGCAGATGAACAGTCCGAGTGAAGTCTCGCGATAAGACCAAGTCTCGCGGTCAGAGCGATCAGCGCCAGCTTCCGGGAGTTTTTCTTGAGAACAAACAGAACCAGAACCGCTCGGTCTGCGGGCTTTTATTCATCTGAGACCCTGAAATGGACGAAGTGCAGGTCCGAGACCTGAAGGAGGACTCGTCCCCGGGTCACCCGGCCCTGAGGAACCAGGACCTGACCCAGCTGTCTCTGAGCGGTAAGAAGTGACACGTCTCACTTGTGAACAGGAAACAAAGAGCTGACGTCACGATGAGAAAAACATTAAAGATAAATATTAAAGATAAATATTAAAGATAAATATTAAAGATAAATAAATGTGTTAAAGTCAGAACCCGTCTGGTCCTGTGTCCTGCAGTCTCACAGGTTCTGGCCCAGTACGGCTGGTACCTGCTGGCTGCCACCATCACCTTCTACCTGCTCCTCCAACACCTGAGGAGGAGGAGGACATCCAGAACCAGCAGCCAGGACCAGAACCCGCAGACTCCACAAGGTACTGGTCCTTCAGTCCTCTCCTCTGGACCTGATCGATGTCAGGCTGAATGTTTTTGTTCTGTTTGGACCCTGAAGTCCAGAACCTGCAGAACTTTAACCATGTTCTTGTTTTCTGCAGAGGCTTCGTTGGTGGCCCGGAGACACGGGTCCATGGAGGCAGCTCGGAGGAGGATGCAGGAGGAGCTGGATGCTAAGGCGGCCATCTTTAAAGAGAAGCAGAAACAGGTCCAATACCAAACAGAACCCTGATGGTGTCGGCTCGGACTCGCAGCTAAAACCTTGTTTTGATCTTTCAGCAAGAAGAGGAGAAACGACAGCAGAAGATCGAGACCTGGGAGCGCCTGAATCAGGTGAGGAGAACCAGTCAGAACCAGTCAGAGCAGTCCATGAGAGCCAGATACCCTCTGTACTGAAGACAGTAACCCTTTACTGCTACTGCTAATGCTAATGCTACTGCTAATGCTAATGCTAATGCTAATGCTAATGCTAATGCTAGGCCTGAGGCACTAACAGACTGCTGCAGTGAGGAGGCTCTGAAACTGATGTGAAGCTTAAAATCAGATTTTATCTCATAAAACCCAGTGAGACGTCTGTGTCTGCTGCACCTGTCTGTACACACCTGTACAACACCTGTACAACACCTGTACACACCTGTACAACACCTGTACACACCTGTACAACACCTGTACAACACCTGTACAACACCTGTACACACCTGAACCTGAAACACTGCTGATAAAAGCTGTTAGCTTCAGAGACAAGATGTTTGGTGTTTGACCCACTGGAGACAGAAAAGTCTTATAGAAACTCAGATCTGTTCCTGACTCCCTGCAGCTGCTCAGAACCTCAGAACCTCTGAACCTCTGAACCTCAGAACCTCAGAACCTCAGAACCTCTGAACCTCTGAACCTCTGAACCTCTGAACCTCTGAACCTCTGAACCTCAGAACCTCAGGACTGATTTACTTACCTGTGATGAATGTGTCTCACCTGTAGACCAGCCAAGAGGCAGCAGCATCTTCATCATCATCTTCATCAGAGGTTCAGAAGCCAAAAACAGACAAGAAGCCTCTACGCAGCAACGGTTAGTCCTTCACCAAAACCAGAACCATCTGATCCTGGTCCCTGCAGGAACTGGTCCCTGCAGGAACTGGTCCCTGCAGGAACTGGTCCCTGCAGGAACTGGTCCCTGCAGGAACTGGTCCCTGCAGGAACAGATCCTGGTCCCTGCAGGAAGTGATCCTGGTCCCTGCAGGAAGTGATCCTGGTCCCTGCAGGAAGTGATCCTGGTCCCTGCAGGAAGTGATCCTGGTCCCTGCAGGAACAGATCCTGGTCCCTGCAGGAACAGATCCTGGTCCCTGCAGGAACTGGTCCCTGCAGGAACAGATCCTGGTCCCTGCAGGAACAGATCCTGGTCCCTGCAGGAACTGATCCTGGTCCCTGCAGGAACTGATCCTGGTCCCTGCAGGAACTGGTCCCTGCAGGAACTGATCCTGGTCCCTGCAGGAACTGGTCCCTGCAGGAACTGGTCCCTGCAGGAACTGGTCCCTGCAGGAACTGGTCCTGGTCCCTGCAGGAACTGGTCCCTGCAGGAACTGGTCCCTGCAGGAACTGATCCTGGTCTCTGTGCTGTGTTTCAGACTACAACCCTCTGACGGGTCAGGGGGGCAGCTCCTGCTCCTGGAGGCCTGGCAGGAGAGGACCATCAGCTGGTGGATGAGGTTAGGTGTGGGAGGTGCTGGTCTTTGACCTCTGACCTCTCAGCCTGTGATGCATGGTGACTGTTTGGACCAAGTTGAAGATGAAACACAAGCCCCGCCCCCTGACCTCTGACCCACACAGTTTATATTCATTTAAAAATTGGTTACAAATAAAACATTGTCTACATCAAACAGACACAAACTTTACAGGAAGTGTTGAAAAGCTCAGACCTCAGAGCAGGAATGACATCAGTACTGTTGTCCTGGTGAGTGGGGTCAAAGGTCAGGCTCTTGTGTAGCTGCCAGCTTGTCATGAAGCTGATCCTGGAAATGGTTTTGAACCAGCAGGTTTGGCCGATCCGGTCCTCAGTCTGTGCTTTGATTGTTTTTTCTCTCTACAATAAGAGTTTTTGGTCAACATTTTTATTTAATGACAATAAATTCTCCAGATGTCCTTGAGTTTAAAGTATGAAACTGTAAGAGAACTCTGTTGTTGTTGTTGTTGTTTGTTTGTTTGTTTGTTTGTTTGTTTGTGAGATGAAGACGAGGTC